ACAGTCCCATTACCCCTTTATGCTGCCATTGCGTAGTCTTTTGTAAAAAGGGCCCAATTGCACCACATCACTGCCACTGTCTGACCCCTTATAAACAACTTAAGGCTCCCTGATGCTGGCTCAATGTTGCAGCAAATTGGTGGCATTGTTTTCTAAAAGTTCAGGGACATACATTCCTCTGAATTGTCAAGTTTGGTTTTGTAAAGGTTCAGGATATTTTTTTCACTGCTTCTTGTTGGTAAATGCCCAAGGGAATGATTGGTGAGCGTGAATTTATTGATCATTAAAATTCAAATTATGACCCAGTCACTTGGAAAGGTCAACAATAAATGGGTTGAGCCTGCTTCTGATTTTCTGCTGTGCTGAGTAAATAGTCCCAGGGTTCACTGGAGACTGTTAGCATTGCTATAATTACACACAGAAATCTGGACTAATTGGATCTGACACATGGCATCAGGTGACTTGTATATGCAGGTTACCGGTGGCTTCTTGTTAGAGAAACGCATCAATCCGCTAATCATGGCAACCCAACACGCGGCTCTGACTGAATTATTTCTGCTCGGTAACAACCAGGTGTTAATCCGTATTCACCTCACTCAGAGGTCTCCCTGCCCGCCACTTGGTTGTTGAGGTCAATGCAAACGCTGAGAGGATTAAGTCTTTTGTTTTGCCGTGACAACCGGTTAGCAATGTGCTCATAGGGAGAGCAGCAGATCCAAGAGGATTGTTTTCTCTTAAAAAATAGCGCCCGGTGGCTGTTTGCGTTATGCGTATGCACACGAAGGGAGAGGTGGTAAAGGATGTTCTGCAGAAAAAGCTACATTTGCTCCAGAAGGTGATCCAGAAGCTTGAAATGTCTGTCGTGTCAGCCTGCATTGAGTGCATCAGAATGGGAAGAGGCGGCAGGTATGTGACCGTGTGTGATGAGCGTGACATCACTAACAGGTTTTCATGTTTGATCTTTTGTTTAATTAAATCAAATATGTTGGCTTTAAACTAAACTTAGGTTTAAACCCAACATTTGTGCAGTTTGTGTGGCTTTTATTATAAACCGATTCAGATTTTCAACATTAATACATTTGTGGGGCTAAAATTAAGTTTTTATATGAAACTTTTACGTATAACACCCGTTTTAAACCAATCCTCCCTGTGTGGCTAACAGGTTTTGGTGCACTTACATTTAGATGCTTCTCAGTTTAAAAGTTGGCAGAATTTAAACACAACATTAGTTTTCTTTTGGTTTGATTCCTACATGAATTAGAATAATTTTTCTGAAGGAGACTTTTACTTCAGCTGAAAACGCTGCACGGCACAGTTTCTACTGATGGAAGAGACGGAGCTTAACCCCAACCTCACCCACTGATTTCCTTAAGCTGAGGTTACTGGAGGATCCGGATGCATAGTGAGGAGATGCAGTCAGTCTAGAAGCTTTAGTTACAACTTATCAGTAGAAGATCAAGGCTCCTCTAAGGTCAGAAGTCACCTTTAAAGGCAATATTTTAAACAGGCACCACCTACATGCCGTAAAACATTCCAATATGAACTAAACCAATTTATTTATTTAAAAGAAAAAGTTTCTCTTTAGCCACAGCAATAAAACTTTTCAACTCTTTCATGTGGAGTAAATGGCGATTATCCTTATTTGCAGTTCTGAGGAGTGAATCCTCTGCAGCCATGTGTGACTGGATTTGTTTTACAGCTTCATGAAGTAATCCCACGGATTTACATTTTTATTTTACATTGTGCACTCACAGCTGCGGCTGTTTTTACCTCCCGAGTGCTATGCTTGTGTGTGTGTTTGTGTGCTTGTATTGGTGTGTATGTGTCGTAATGGCTAAATTGGCATTCTGGACACACCTGCAGCTGGAGAAAATGACACAATACCAGTCTAAGCTATTGTGGCGGGTGTTTACATGTCTGCCTGTGAGCACTTTTGGTGCTGCTAGCACTGCCAACAGTTGCAGGATCATCCAGCCACAAAGTTTCACTGAGATTAAAGAGAAGTTCTGTTGGTCCGACCCGTGAGTTTCGGAGTTGTGATGTAATCGTCTCCAGCAGAGGCAAACTTGCTGGATATCTGGAAAGCTCGTGCAGGGTCAGTTTAGACGTAAAGTGCAAAAGTGATTTACGAGACTTGGTAATTTTCATGTTTAACTGGAGTGCTGATGGTGCATCCCAGCTGTGTCGGACACGTGCCAGACTTTTACTGCTGTTGTCTCAAAGATAAAGTTACCCACTACTTACTTTCCTTTCTTGTCACTGGGCTTTAAGCGTCTTCAGATATTCTGTCATCAGTTTTTCTTCCACAATACGAAGGCCTGCGATAACAAGGCGAATTAATCCACATCAAAGCTGCGTGTCATCTTGAGCTCAGCACTCTAAACGAGAGAGTGTCAAACCTGCTTGGGCTTTGTTCACACAGAGAAACAGGCCAAACTGGCTTTCTCATAGCGCTCCACATAATCTTTCATTACCTAATCCAGTGTTAATGTGGTTCCATTTTATTTTACTTCCACTCTCCTAGTTGATCAGAGAAGGAAGGCCAAAGTTTATGCACTGTTGTCATGCAGCAAAACCAAAGCCATTCTTGTGATAAAAACCAAACTAATCAAGCAGAGTTAAAAAGTTAATTACAATAGACAAAGTTTAAAGCTGCTGTAGCAAATCTACAGAACACACAAACATGGTCACGGAACACTCGCTCCTTCTGTCAGCGTTTTCTTTTGGGGACTCTGGTAGTTTGTCCTAGAGACGAAGCGGTAGCAGCCGGCTGTTTCTCCTTCTCTGGTATTATTGAGCAGAGGACCTCTCACCAGTGGTGTTCTGTTGCAAAATGTGAGAGTGTGGAATCAGTGGAGGACTCAGGGAAGTGTGGCCGTCCAGTGAGACAGAAAATGAGATGCTCCAATCGTGGCTTTTGGTCTGAGCTGTGTTATTGGCATGTTTTTTAGAAGCATGAAAAAATATTTGAAGCCATCTTGTTCTGTAGATTTGCTATAAAAGCTCTAAGAATGGATGTTGTTGTGAAACCAACGTGAATGGATGAGAATCTGAGCACATTCACATCCTTTAGATGTCACAGGGCGACAGTGGCACAAGAGTTAAGTGCTCGCCCCGTAATCGAATGGTTGCAGGTTTGAGCCCCGCTCAGTCTGTTGCTGTCGTTGTGTTCTTGTGTCCAGCAGGTGGCGGTCGGGGGGACCGGTGGCGCCAGTGTACGGCAGCCTCGCCTCTGTCAGTGTACCCCAGGACAGCTGTGGCTACCATGTAGCTCATCCCCACCAGAGTGTGAATGTGTGTGTGAATGGGTGAATGACTGATTGTGTTGTAAAGTGCTTTGGGGGGTTCCAGAACTCTAGAAAGCGCTATATCAAATACAGGCCATTTACCATAATGTTGTTCCAAGGTGATACAGATGCACAGGAATCTGTTGTTGTCCACATGATCTACCACTTCCTTTTTGGGTAGTGCAGAGTCAATAACAGAGTAGCCACGTTGCCATGCCCTGCTTTATTTGCCTTATTAAACCTAAATGAGCTTAATTTAACACTAAGCAAAAATCCACTGTGTTAAACTGAGCTCTAGACTCTATACTTCTGCAAAACATTCAATGGCCTTTTTTGATCTCTTTATCTGAATTGTCTGAACTATTTGTCTTATGTGACCACGTTAGTGGCCATCATGGAAGCGTGATTCCATGTGTTGGTGGTTTTTAGCTTCATGATGTTGGTTTGACACGCACAGGAGACAAAAAGGTTCCTATAATAGTGGACATGACCACAGCCACATCTGAATTTACCCTGTGTTCATGGTAAAATGTAAGCTACACATTTGTGTTTCAGGGTAGTTGCATTTTTAGGGCTTCGTGGTCATGATGGGCAGGAAATGCTTAATCCGGTTTTGGAATTTCTCTTGTTTGGTTTCAAAAGAGCTTGGCTTTTTGTCTCCCTGTCATTTCCAGTTTCTCTGTTTGTCTTGTGAGAATGGACTTCCTCTGTGACGCACCAGTGGTGGAAGTAATGCAGGTTTTTGAAATAATGTCTGAATGCTACAAGCTAATTTACTTTACTAAGTAATTGATGGGGATGCACGTTTTCCAAAATCTCTTTAACCGGTTAATGACGCCCCCTTAACAGTTAAAAGCCGGTTAACCGGAACACCCTGTTGCTCTTTAAATTAACACTTTTTCCGTCTACCCTTTTTTTTTTTAATAAAATTCTGACGCACCACTAAAATTTTACACTTGTAACATTTATGAACAAAAAGTCGAGAGAGAGAGTGGGTTGCGTGCTGGAGGGGTGGGTTGATGTCCGTCAGACTCAGAACTTGTTGCAGCGGAGCGTCTGGCATCAAGCACACAGCACAGCTTGTGATCGCGTGCTTATAAAAAACACTTTAGTTTCCAAACATTGAACTAAATAATTACACTGACATTTCTTTATTTTACTAGACAAATTAAGAGTCAGATGCAAGCTGGAGCTTCATGGCCGACTGATCTATTGCTGGTCTCGGTTCAGTTCTGCCAGGCTCAGCGCTTTGATGTGAGGCTTATTGTGTTCCAACAATGAAATGACTAAGAATAAACTGCTCCAACCCTGTGCTCTTTGCTAACCGCTTCATGTTTGAGCACATTTGTCTGGTCACGGGATGAGCCCATTTCTTCTTCTGTGGTTGTCCAGTAAACCTGTTATGATAGCTGTGTTCTTATGCCCTCTAGTGGCACAAAATATATTAAACCCAAGTGCAGCAGAAGGACCGGGCAAAACTATTTTACCCAGTTACAACGTTCAAGGCAATTAACCGGTTAACTATGTACATCCCTAGTGTTTGGTTGGACAGCCAGATCAATCTACTCTTCCACGCCCCCATTACAGTGTCTGGTTTTTATTCTGTTAGTTCCATAAAAAGTTTGGTGTCCACTTGTATGTTTTTTGGTCACGTTTCTGGTGTAAATCTTTGAACTTTCGGTCTAGTCTCACTCAGACCTAATTGATTTGCAGGATGGAGTCATCGTGTTTGGACCTTGCTCTGGAAGGCGAGCGCCTCTGTAAAGCAGGTGACTATCGCGCAGGTGTGTCCTTCTTTGAGTCTGCCATACAGGTAGGAACCGAAGACCTTCAGATTCTCAGCGCCATCTACAGCCAACTAGGAAATGCCTACTTTCATCTTCAAGAGTACAATAAAGCCCTGGAGTACCATCGACATGACCTCACACTGACCAGGTAAACCTTTCCACAAAGCAAATGCATGATTAGTTTTAGATTCCCTTTTTGGCTGGATGGTGCATCTGTACATGGTCTAACAAACATGTAGAAACATTGACTTTCTCTCGTGTGTTTTGTGATTCTCGCCCAAACATACCAGTAACGCTGTAAATCTCTGTTGCAATCACAGAACAATTGGAGATGAACTTGGAGAAGCTAAGGCCAGCGGTAACCTCGGCAACACATTAAAGCTTTTAGGGCGTTACGATGAAGCGGTGGTTTGTTGCCAAAGACATTTGGAAATCACAAGAGCCGTCTACGATAAGGTGGGTCTTCACGGATTTCGTTTTGCTTGCTTCGTGTTGATTATCTGAGGTAAAGTGATTGTTTTGGTGGTTTTCCAGTGAAAGTTTCTCTAATAAGGAAAATTCCCACACATTAGGATAAATGGATTCCCTTGTTTTCAGCCTTACTAAATGAAACGTTGTACAACCTTTTAATATTTCTGCAGCTGCATCTGTTGCCAGCCAGCATGCAAACAAGGCCTTGGTGTATTTTAAGTTTATAATTACAGCCAGTCTCTCTCTGAAAATCTGCTGTGCGTGTTGTAGGTTGGGCAGGCTCGAGCTCTGTATAATTTCGGAAACGTTTACCATGCCAAGGCTAAGAGCATCTGCTGGAGTGGATGTGAGCCAGCCGAGTTTCCAGAGGAGGCCAGGATCGCCCTCAGGAAAGCTGCACAGTACTACGAGTGAGTCTCTGCTCACCTCCGGAGGGATTTTGTTTTTATCTAGTATGAAAACACTGCAGGATTAACAGGAGCACTAGTGGCGTGGTTGTGCAAGGCGGGACTGTGAATGTGCATGAATGTTGTCAAGCTGCGTCTACTTTGGACGAAAGCAGCAGCGGCGTGAAGCGGGTGGAGGAGGAAGTGCTTGTAAAGAAAATGGGGTGCTGTCGGTTATATGGACCAGGTTTGGGTTTAAGGAGTCTGACGTTGACCCAGCAGTAAAGCAATATCTATGTTATTAGCTCATTAAAATCCCTTAATTGTTTCTCTTTTTCTTTTTAACACAAAGACTTCCAAACTTTTTGGACATCTCCTGTGTTTAAAGAATATTTCCTCTGCAGTTTCAGCCGTTTCTCCTTTTCATTAAAAAGTCTGAAGAAGGAGCAGTGCAGGAAATGCTGTGGTTCTTGATCACTCGCTCACAGGTGGCTGACTCCAGCTATCAGGTTTATTGTAAAGTGGCACTACTTGTTTTTATGATTCAGTTTATAATTTCTTACCCCGGCTTTCCACGGGAGCCGTCAGCAGCACGTTACTGCAGCAGCACGTCATAGCTGCTGCTAGGAACCGCTGTGGTCAACAGAACCTTTTCCACTGGAGCCGTCGGCAGCCGTCAGCAGCGCGAGTCGGCCGCGTCTCAGGAGCAGCATGTCCCGGCCTTTACGCGCCGGTTCTATTTCCTACGCGCGACGCCTCTGAAACGGGTCAAGTTCGACATTTTTGGGGAAGGAAAGACAGGAAATCGGACGCGGAAACGGAGCGAAGCTCCCGAGATTTTCAGATTAAAGAAACGTACTGCCTTCCGGTTGCTTTACTTTTAAAAAAAGTTACTAACTGTGCGTCCCCGTGAGAAGTTATCACCTAGCTAGCGGTCTCCTTTGTTTTTCAGGTCCGTATTGGCGATTATAAAACGGACAGAACATAAAACACAAACCATGTTGTAGTTTTCTCCTGCTTGTTGTTGTGTTTACTGACGAAGTCACTCGTGTGACTTCGTGCTCTGTCGGTGACAGCTGCTCCCCTGCTGCTTCGCGTCTCGTGGGAAGGGCCAAGCAGCAGCTTACGCGAGCAAGACGTGCTGCTGCAGTAACGTGCTGCTGACGGCTCCCGTGGAAAGCAGGGGTAACACTGAGCTACCACTTACGTGGGACTCTTATCTGATATGTTTGTTTGTTTTTAATCATCATCTTTGTGTATAAGGCATCAACCAGAGTCCAAAGCAAAATGCTGTACACCACATAACAACAAACCATGAGGGGTTTGACAGAGCGATGCGTAAAAGAAACTAAAACGATTAAAACAGGTCCTATACAAATGTGTCGCATTTGCACATTAATTATCTTTTTTACCTAGAGCAAACCTGCGCCTTGTGAAGGAGCTGGGTGACTGCGCCGCTCAGGGTCGAACCTACGGGAATCTCGGTAACACGTATTATCTCCTGGGTGACTTTGAAATGTCAGCAGCCGCACATGAAAAGGTTGGTTCTCAAACGCATATAAGGTCAAGAGTGTCCGTTTTAGTACTTTTTTACACTCCGAACACATGATGATTAGTTTTCATTATCTGGCTTTTTCATTGTTTAGCGGCTTCTTATTGCTAAAGAATTTGGAGACAAATCTGCAGAGCGAAGAGCCCACTGCAACCTGGGCAATGCGCACATTTTCCTTGGCCAGTTTGAAGTGGCGGCTGGGCACTACAAGTAAGTAAATGTGAGGCAGGATGTCATTCTGTTTTTAATAACTAGAGAAAACTTAAAAATGCAACCGGTGAAGAACAGAAACGGCATTAAAGCTAAATAATTTATAACTCAGCATGGGCTCATTATTTCACTACAAGCCCCATTATTTGTTGCTCGTGCTGTAAACAACCCAAACCAATGGAGTCTGTTGCATATTAATTAAGGATGTTCCAATCACATTTATTTATTTATTTTTTGCTCTCGATTCGATTCAGGTCATTTGATTTTGAGTATCTGCCGATACCGAGTCCTTTCAGGAAAGCAGTAAAACAAGAAGACCATATATATTTAAAAGTAGCAGTGTTGCTCTTATTTCAAGTTCTTTACTCCCAATGTGCAGCTTCGAGTAATGTGTGTTCCCGTGACGGAGCAGGCAGTTGGAGCCCAGATTGGCAGGGTAACTTTTCCCTGCACAACATTTGTAGCTCCAGCGCGCAGATCTGGTGCTGTAGGAAAACCTAAGAAACCCTGATGTTTTGCTGTCTGTTCTCGTTGCTTATTACCATATCTGTCTCTTTTTTTGTCTGACGTCACTGTGAACTGGGACTGTTGGTGGCAAACTGGGAATTAATGGAGAACTGTGATTTGCTTTGTTGATGCATTAAGAGGAAAGCAGACGGGGAATGCAGTCTGTTTGGCTGCAAGTCATGCAGCGGTGTCCCTTCCAGTATGTTGACACAGAGGCAAAAATATAGTTTATAAAAATTGATGTATTACTGTATTAATTATGAAAGGCTAATGATTATAAATGGTGATTCAGTGATATTAAATGAGACTGAGCTCAGATGAAACATGACCTTGTATGTTTTAAAAGTTATTTTTCTAAGTGACTCAGAAAGGTGTGATGTCTGGGTTTATAAAATAAATTTGGCTGGCTGTTGGATGTCATTTAACAAGTTATCAAATTAATATCAACCACTCTGACGCCATTGTTTGTTTAGTCCGCGCTCCTTGGATCGTGGAAGCTCCTGGAGGTCCGGTCTGCAGGCAAAGCCGTCTCACAGAGGGAGTGAGTGGACTTGAGATGTATCTGAAGATGGTAATATTTCTGCATCACGGGTCCTCGGAAGAATGAAAGGATGAATGCAAGTCAATGGGGCTAAAAATGCTATTTTCTAATTCTGCTTGTTTTGTGCCATGGACATCACATGAATTTTAAAGACACATTTTGATGCCAAGAACGCGCTTATTTTCGAACAGGGGGAACAATATTTTAGGCTTTGTGGGAAAATAAGCCCAGGACTACAAATACGCTTCATAAAAGTGACGTCATCAAACCAGACACGAGGGAAAAGGGTTGTTCAGTAAGTAGCAGCTACGTTAGGGGAGAGGAGATTATGTGGCGACGTGCCGATTTCTGGTTTGTAGTCATGCTAATTACGAACTTTTACAAGCTGATAAATCTCAAAGTACGTGACTGGCATGGTTAACACACCCATCATTACTTTTAATTTAAATTGCAGTACAACATATGTGTGATCCAGGGCGTATGGCAAAGCGGATTAGAAAATAGCGTTTTTAGCCCCGTTGACCTTCGTTCTTCCGGGGACCCATGAGCCGACCGGAAAGGGAGAAGGCTTAGGCTCTCTATAGCTTCCCTGAGGAGACATGCTAGCTCTGCGTTAGCCGGCTTGCTAAAATTTGCAGCTTGGTGTCTGAATCCCTGCTGCCGTAAGTTGTTTAATGTTACTTTGTTGTTCATTTTTTGTTTTCTTTTTTCTTTTTACACCATTTTAGTAAAAATATTGTTTTTTTTTACCTGACATGTTTCAGCTAGTATCTCTAGTCGTCATCAGAGATCGCCGGTGGGTGTAAATGGCGTCACTTCTTCTATCCGCGAGCAGCAGAGGACGATGTCAACAATGTACAAAAGAGTTGCTGTGTTGTTTTCGTACATGAAACAAACTATTGATGTGGAGGAAAAACTAAGCCATTCTTGTTCTATTTTAAAATCTCTCTCAGGATGAATTTAAAGTCATGTTTGTTGTTTTAAAATGTTAAATCAGATTAATTTCTCTCAATCCCAATCCTTTCTAAATGACGTGATCGGATCGGAGCATCCAAATATTAATGTCTAGTCATTGAATATTTGCAATTATAAACTTTAGAAATGTTTTCATAACTATACAACCACAAGTTTCTTCTATTAAAGAGAAAACCACCCACTGTTTTTATAAAGGACCGTGATACTATTTAGTTCCAAATGTTTTGAATCCCTGACACCAACATTTTATTAAAGGAGAAGGAAAATGAAGCTGACGGCCATCGTTCTCCCACCCCCTTCCTCCTCCTTTCCCCTCAGGAAGACTCTGCAGCTGGCCAGGCTTTTGAAGGATAAAGCAGTGGAGGCTCAGGCCTGTTACAGTCTGGGAAACACCTACACACTCCTGCAGGACTACGAGAGAGCCATAGACTATCACCTCAAACATCTGGTCATTGCTCGGGACCTCAACGACCGGTACGCCGTCATGGCCGCTTGTAGGCCGTTCTCTGGAGTGTGAAGAGCTCTTCCTGTGAACGTGGGTGGCCCCTAAACGAGTCGGTTAAATGAGGAAGGTGTTGCTACAAACACCCATCATAGAGTTAAAAAAGAGTCAGAATCACATAGAAGAAACATATAAATGCTGTAGTATACAATGCAGTAGCAGTACAGTTATGGGCCATTGCCATCTGTACCGGGTCGGCCCGGGCCGGGTAGCCCCAGTCGGCCCCAGCCTGGCCCGGTTGATTCCACACATCCTTGTCTTAAGCCCATGTGGGCTGATTCTACCCACCAATCAGAGGCTTGCTCTAATGGAAGGTGTGAATTTGCTGTCAGCAGTGAGTGTGTTGGCCCTGGTCGGCCTGAAGCAGACCCCCTCGAGAGGAGGGCCGAGAATGAGCCTTGGTTGGCCCAGAAAAATACCAGGCCACCCAGATATGTAAACAACCTACGCTACCCGGCCCGGGCCGACCCGGTACAGATGGGAATGGCCCATTAGACTAGAATGGATTCTTTAACATCTTTATGTGAAACTGCAGTTTTATTTAAAGGGCAGAAATACCCCTTTGGAAGTTTAAATGAATTCCAAATTTTTCCAGAATTTTTTTTTGTGACATCAGATGAAAGAATGTGTTTTAAGAGGGTGGGACTCAAGTACAGCTCATGCTTGCACAATGTCTGTGAAAGTTGCTCAGCCTGTTCTGTTTTGTTTCTGACTGCAGAGTGGGTGAAGGAAGAGCCTACTGGAGCTTAGGAAATGCCCACACCGCCCTGGGGAATCACGAGCAGGCCATGTACTTTGCTGAAAAACATCTGGAAATTGCCAAAGAGGTGACTTGTTAATAGTTTCCTTCTGCTTTATCCAGCTTTCACTGGGTCACGGCGCCCTCTAGTGGGCCTAAGTGTGATAACCTGGATTTATTGTCAGAGGTAAATGAACCTTTTCCTTCTGGTACCGCTTCAGACTGGAGACAAAGGTGGCGAGGTGACTGCCAGAATGAACTTGTCGGACCTGCGGCTGGTTGTAAACCTCAAATCAAGCTCCAGCAAACATCAAATCTTCCGTAACAACAACTCTAACTGCTCCGCTGAGGCAGAAAACGGCCAAGGTTACTTCAATCTGCTTGGTAAATCCATTCTTCTTCTGAATAATGGGATTAATGTCCTGCCTGTAATCAAGAGCACTTTTTGTTAGTTTGAGAGCATTTCTTAAAAATGTGTTTCATGCTTTTACAAGTGCTGATTGGTCAGCTGGCTCCCTATTGGCTGAGGGTCATCTCACATTAGTCCAGTTCCAGGATATAAGAGAGCAGTGAGAAGGAGCTCAAACTGCAGAGAGGCATTTGTATGAATTGAAAAGTCAATTTTAGAGAAAGAATGTATTTTTTGTGAGTTAAAAGGTTTTAGAGAGCTTGCAACTGTTAAATCATTGTTCCAGGCCCACTTTTTCAGGGGTTAGTGTCGTTTTTACTCTATGCTTTTATTTTTTCTTAAATGTTTTTAACGTGTTTTATAAAAAAAAAGGTTAAAGTCCCGTTAGTCATCATCACTCTGGTGAAACTCTTCTCTGCATTTGACCCATCCCCATGGGGAGCGGTGAGCTGCAGCGGTGGCTGAGCTCAGGAACTATTTGGTGCTTTATCCCCCCAATCCAACCTCTTAAAGCCGAGTATCAAGCAGGGAGGCATTGGGTCCCATTTATAAAGTCCTTGGTATGACCCGACCGGGATTGGAACCCCAATCTCCCAGTCCCAGGGCGGACACTTGGAACGTTGGTTTGGCTAGCAGTACAGGATCTGAGCTTGAAAATGACAATTAATGGTCTCTAATCAACTAAATATGCTTTTGATTAAAGGCAGGGAATGAATCCCATATGCTGGTCATTATACAGTGGGATGCGAAGGTTTGGGCAGCCTTGATCTTCATGATTTTAGGCAAGGCAGCTTCATCTATACACAGGCAATTCAATGGGCTTTCCATTAGTAAGAACAGGGAGAACATTTAAACCAACATGACAGAAAATACAAATTAAAAAGAAATCAATGTAAAGGGTGAGCAAATACTGTAAAAGTGCAGTATAAGAAAGGCTGAATGAAAATGATTTAACGGTTAGAGTTGCGGCACATTGGAGGTCATAGGGAAGCAGATTCTGCGTGTGTGCAGCATAGTAGCTAAAAGCAGCTTCACCCTGTTTGGTTCTGACCCAAGGTTCTACAGGGAGGTGCTGTATGTGAGAGTGATGCAGAGGAAGCCTTTTCTCCACCCACAGCACAAACAGAGCAGCTAGAAGTATGCTGAAGCACATCTGGACAAGCCAGCTTCATTCTGGAATCAGGTGCTGTGGACTGATGAAACTAAAATAGTTATTCAGACATAACAAGAGGTGTTACGCATGGAGGAACAAGAACACAGCATTCCAAGAAAAACACCTGCTACCTACAGTAAAACATGGTGGTGGTTTCATCATGCTGTGGGCTGTGTGGCCAGTGCGGGGACTGGGAATATTGTTAAAGTTGAGGGAAGCATGGATTCCAGTTAAAATCAGCAGATTCTGGAGACCAATGTCCAGGAAGAAGTGACAAAGCTAAAGCTGCACCGGGGCTGGATCTTTCAACAAGACAACGACCCTAAACACTGCTGAACATCTACTAAGGCATTCACGCAGAGGAACAAGTAGAATGTTCTGGAATGGCCATTTCAGTCCCCAGACCTGAATATTACTGAAAATCTGTGGTGTGAGTTAGAGAGAGCTGTCCATGCCCAGAAGCCGTCAGACCTGAACGTACTAGAGAAGATTTGTAAGGAAGAATCCAGGCTTTCATTGGAAGCTATAGGACGAGTTTAGAGACTGTTATTTCTGCAAAAGGTGGATCTACTAAATATTTCTGTATTTTCTTTGTTGTGGTGACCAAATGTATGCACTTTAGGGCTGCAACAACGAATCGATAAATTCGATGAAAATCGATTACTAAAAGCGTTGGCAACGAATTGCGTCATCGATTCGTTGTGTCGCACAACTCTTCCAAAAGCGCCCCCCCCCCCCCTTCCCGCCCGCCATTGCGCGCAGACCAGAGCAAGTCAGATCAGCGCGAGGGAGAGCCGCAGATCAGCGCGAGGGAGAGCCGCAGATCAGCGCAAGGGAGAGCCGCAGATCAGCGCAAGGGAGAGCCGCAGATCAGCGCGAGGGAGAGCCGCAGATCAGCGCGAGGGAGAGCCGCAGATCAGCGCGAGGGAGAGCCGCAGATCAGCGCAAGGGAGAGCCGGCAGATCAGCGCGAGGGAGAGCCGCAGATCAGCGCGAGGGAGAGCCGGCAGATCAGCGCGAGGGAGAGCCGCAGATCAGCGCGAGGGAGAGCCGGTAGCGGCAGATCAGCGCGAGGGAGAGCCGGCAGACTTGCGCTGCTGCGAACCGGTTCCGCATTGTTGCACAGCGATCCAGGCAGCTGCTTCCAGCGCACGGTCCATTCTCAAAGTGGCGCAACCAAAAAACTATAATTAGCACACGATCGTTCATGTCCGCACATGTTCTCTATTTTCTGTCTTATTTGTGCCTGAAGCTCGCTACTGCGGAGCTCATCACCTGTGCTGTGGTGATGTCACCTCACGCAGCATCGAAAACGCGCTCTGCGCTTTTCGGTCAGGAGATCCCTTTGATCTGCTCAAAAGTAACTGATGAGGTGAAAAGGTAAGAATCCAGGCAACAGATTTTCTGGAGAGTTTAGAGGAGATGCAGGAAGATGAGAGACAGACAGGACAGGAAAATAGTTCAATAAAAACAAGAAAACAAAACAAAGTGTTGAAAAGTAAAATGTAGGTAGATTTATCACCACTACACATTTTTACCAGTAAAAAACAATAAGTTATACACATGTCATATTTACACATCTGATACAATTCAGATCACCTTCAAAACTCAGTCACACACCCAGGGCCGTTTCAAGACATTTTGGGGGCCAAGGCAAAATGCCCCCCCCCCCCCCCCCCCCCCCCAATAACTGGGCTCCCCAGAAGCCTCTGTGTAATCCATACCCTCTCCAGTAGTGTTAGTTATATGGTGTTTATAAAAGCCCCTCAGACATTACTGACATGTTCTAATATTATCAGATGAAAAACTAAATTATCAGACATGCTGTCTCATCTGCTTCTTTTATAAACTTGCAAAAAGTAACAAAACCATTTGAAAGCCACTATTTGTGGATTCTCTGAAAGTTTCCATGGAGTGTGTGACAACTTATTTTTTCATTGATCCTATCGTCTAATCTCACAGCTGAAACAAGCATCCTTAATAATCTGTGCACCGGAAGCTTACCGATGCTGTAGTAAAACAAAAGGTATAATAATTTATTATTAATAAAACCTTGTTGCAGCACTAAAGCAGAAAAATTAGATTTTGCATTAAATATGCAAAATATTTACATATGAATTGTTTTAGAGCCCTTTAATTGGCAGAATCTGATATTAATTTAGTTCTTACAAAAAATGGGTCCCAACATGGTTTGTGTGGCGTTGCCATAGTGTGACGTCATAGGCACAGATCCCCTGTCCTCTTGTTTGGAAATGGAAATATGATCACCCTACATTAAACAAACTGTCCACCCGGGCTTTTGCACTGCACAGAGACGCTTCGCTGCCTACGACTGAATGTCAGTTGAGAGTCAGTCTCATGCAGACTAACCAATGAAGAGAGGGCCTCAAGTTAAGACCCTCTCCTCATTGGTCAGTCCACACGAGGTGGGTCAAAGGTTACTCTGGGCGGGTTACGCGTTGTCAGGCATTCAAGTATTGAGTATATTTACTGCATATTACAGTAAAATATTCTGTATGTGACCACATTATGGTGATCCTTGGGTCGTGATGATGGAGCCCTTGAATATTGTTGCCCAGGGTACAACAAAGTGTTAATCTGGCCCTGGTTCCGCCGTCACATTCCCGCAGAAACTGGTTGATCACACCGGGGCCAGACTACTAGCGTGTGGTTTTACAACCACAATGTCCTCAGAAGCAAAAACGCTTTTAAAAGGGAGGGAGGAGTCCTAACTGTTGCTGCAGGCGTGTTGTGTGAGAGTGCAGTTATATACTGGTTAATATATTTTTGGGTTCAGTTGCTTTCATGTGGCCTAATGTGAGTCTATTTGGGATCATTGGAATGATCAGCAGCATTTCTTGATGTGACTTTATGGCAGTTGCCCAGGGCATCATCGCAAGGAGGACGGCATTCATTTACTTTTGTTTTATTTGGTATTTTTTCAGTCATTTTTGGAAATAGTGATCAATTTTGATTAATTCACAGCCTATGTTTAATTACATTTAAAATAAATGTCAACAGATGAGATCAAACAAAACAGATGAGAATTGCCCTTAAGCTGTTTAACTTGGACCAAGCATTTTAGGTCACAGATAGATGTAGCTTAGGGTCTCTGTCTATACACCTTATAAGACAATTTAGGTGATGGCATGTTGTTTTTCTGCAATTGAACTGTTTTCTAATAATGTTGTGTTAAATAAAGTGAAGGAAGGAGAGAAATAACGTTTCCCTAGCAGTTTTTAAAAATTTCCCCATGTAATCCGATTAATCGATTAATCGTGTCGAGACCCCATCCGATTAATCGATTATCCAAATAATCGTTTGTTGCAGCCCTAATGCACTTGCCTAATTGTTTTAACAATTATTGCATTTTCTGTAAATCCTATAAACTTCATTTGACATATGATGTATTTAACTGAGCATTTTTATAACAACCCACGATTTGTAAAGTAAAATAAGAGATTAACCAGGCTGCACCAACATCCCACTTAGCAGGAAAATGAGCTTTTTTCTCGACAATGATAACTTATGCAGCACTAATAGCATGTTATGAAGACCTGAGTTGTGATGCTTTCTGTGTGTTTAAGGGGCCAAGTCGTCTTTAAGGAGAAACGGAAGTGCAGAAAACCAGGAACAGAGTCAAAGCGCTGACCGGCCCCAGAAAGAAGACCCGTCGCCACATGAGGTGTGTGTGTGTGTGTGTGTGTGTGTGTGTGTGCGCGTGCGCGCACACTTTGTGTAAAGTATAATTGTGTGTGTGTGTGTACACACTTTGTGTAAAGTATAATTGTGTGTGTGTGTGTGTGTACACACTTTGTGTAAAGTATAATTGTGTGTGTGTGTGTACACACTTTGTGTAAAGTATAATTGTGTGTGTGTGTGTACACACTTTGTGTAAAGTATAATTGTGTGTGTGTGTGTGTACACACTTTGTGTAAAGTATAATTGTGTGTGTGTGTGTGTGTGTGTGTGTGCGCGCGCAGGAATGGGAGGATCATTTATTTCCTGGGTCATCCAAAAACAACACGATCAAAGCCTCCACTAAGCTTTTCCTTTTCCATCGGCTGAAAAGCAAGAAGAAGAACACGAAACCTAAAGATCAGGAGGAAAACCACAGCGAGAACACGAACTCGGAGCAGAATTCACCAATGTCTCCAAAGGTATTTCTAAAGAACTCATCAGAATGATTCCGAGAGCGCTCGTCCTGAAACTAGTCTGACTCCTAAAGGGATACAAGAGTTTGTTACTGTTTTCCTGGTTTCTACTGCTGAAACACTCTGTGTTACATGGACCATAAAGGTGATTCAATCACCATGGAGTTGGCCGTGTTTTCTTCGGATTTGTGTTTTTCTTCTTCCTTTTATCTGTTTAACGAGTCACCAGCTGTTTACTTTTGATTATCCTTATTTTCTCTCCTTTCTTTAAAGCTGATCACTTGATCTTCTCACTCTTCTTGTGTTTTCACACACGCCTAAGCTTCTGTTTTGTTTTGTTTGTAACAACACAGTCCAGACCACAGGACGCGATCGGAGAGGACAGCTTTTTCGACCTCCTGTCTCGGTTTCAGGGAAGCAGAATGGACGACCAAAGGTGTACACTGGATGTCCTGAGCCACCCCTCCGCCCACCCCTCTCCCTCCTCTACCTTACCTGTAGCTGAAGGGAAATGTGAGTGTCTCCTAACAATAGATGCTACGTGTGTTGTGTGTATTTCTAGTGATGGTGATATTCCACCTACTTTATTTTCATTTGTGCTTTCGTCTTTTGGACTTTTCTGATTTTCTAGATTCATTATTAATGTCCACAAATTTAAACTCTCACCAGTGGCTCACTCAGAGGACCACATTCAAATCCATCCGATTCTGGGTGAAATATTACTTTAAGCAGAAACTTTTCCTTTTTTTATTCCTCCCAAACTTCTTTCCACTTAATACTAAAACAGTATAGATCATTAGTTTACACACCCGCACTGATTTCTTGTTCTCAGCTACATCAGAGGGAAAAGCACCATCACAGGATCCTGGACATTTCCTGGAGCTGCTGGCCAGCTCCCAGGCCCGTCGTCTAGACGACCAACGAGCCAGCCTCAGCCAATTTCCTGGCTTACGTCTCAGCACCTGCAGCCCGCCTCATACACCCTCCACCTCCAGCACAGACCCAGCCCCGACACAAGGTGATGAAACACGAGGCTTAGCCTGTTTCAGTCGACCCTTCTCTTATCCCTGTAGAGTAACACTTGTTCTCCGCTGCAGTGATCCCCGCGGCAAGCACCAGTCACACACCCTCCCTGTACAACCACCTCGAGAACGCTGCTGAGCCGGCCGAGGCAGACGTCTTCTTCGACATGCTAGTGAAGTGCCAGGTGAGACACTGGGATTAAACCTTCTGCCGTGTGATTAATGCTTCGTTTAATTTTTACTTTCAACACTTTTGCAATAGGTTTTATACCTGGCTGAGTGGCAATAAGCACCTTTGTTTAATATTGTTGCAATTTAGTGAGAAAATGTCATTATGTTTCAATTTGTTTGCAATTCAGCCTCACGGCACCTTCAAAGGCTGTCTCAGTTCTTCTACTTTCATGGTAACCAAGTTGAAGGTGTTCAAGATGGGGTCTGGATGCTAATGACGGATGTTCTCATAGAACAGCAGCTGATTGAACAAGTTAAAATTTCCACCAATGCCTGGCAAACATTAGACATTTTGGAAACGCCCCTGTGAAGGCCAGTCAGATGGACTTATTTGTGGGTGTTTTCCAGATTGTTGGTGGTACTGTAATGCTGTGATTTTATTTTCCAGAGTATGTTTATGTTTATTCATTTAGCAGACTCTTTTATCCAAAGCGACTTACAATGTATAACCTGTAGGGCATGTTGTGATCTGTGGGGGAAACCGGAGTACCCGGAGGAAACCCACGCATGCATGGGGAGAACACGCAACTCCAAGCAGAAAGGCCGCAGCCGAGCCGAGTTTCGAACCTGCAACCTTCGTGCTGCGAGGCAACAGTGCTAACCACTGCGCCGCCATGCAGCCAATGAGTAAACAACGAAAACTAAAAACTGCCCAGTTTTAACCATAGAAACACTACATGAGCTAGCATACTGAATTGTTACTTTGAATCAGAAGGGCTTTATGCCATATGTGTGAGAAGGTTCACAATATTAGGAAATTGCTGCAACGCTTGGTGTAATAATAAGAAATAAGCACAATCAAATAATCATAGAGCAGCAATAATTAGAAATACGACTATTATATTCAAGATAGAGTAGGTACTGATCAGAGCGCAGTCAGGTGATTGTGGCTGTTGCCGTAGGAATTATGGCTGAAAAGGTACCAACCGGATGTAAAGGATACTACTGTCAGGTTTGACCGTAGTATCCTTTACATCTGGTGTTGTACCATTTTCTGCAATCATCAGATCCTGTGACTCTAGGAAGGAGCCTTGAAGAAAGAGGGTTGGCACTTAGAATTGTTATTTCTCAAAATGTAGCTTTCTTGAACAGCTTTTTCCCTCAAGAACTTAAACTTCCCCTTTAAAGTAACACTGAAGTTTCCCCACTTCTCCCTCCTGCTGGCTAAAAGCAGAATAACAACAGTCGTGATCAACCCTGCTGCAGCCTGCTGTAGCTAGCGCTAACAACGAGCTAACATGAGCCACTTGATGCTAAACAAGCTACGAAGTAAAAAGTTCCACACTGCTGGAAAAAGACTTACAAGTCCAGTAGCAACAAAGCCAGGTCACCATCAGCCTGTGATTTCATAGCCTCCTTTAGCTTCCTCAAACGAGTGTAGGCTATGCTGATTTTAGCTCTGCTTTTCCTCCAAAGACATGACTCTCTTACATTTACTTCCAGGCACCGCCATGACAACAAAATAAGCTAAATTATTTTTCTTGTGTTTTTTTACTGATGGTGGGTGAACTGAAAAAGCTAACTGCTAGCCTTTATGTTGGCTACTGGCACAGTAAACGGCGAACAGCCATGAAGCATGTGGAGACCTCCCACTAGTGTACCTTCCTGTTAAATTCAGTTTCTGGTCAGCAGCGGGCTACAGAGTGCTGTACAATCTGAAGTTGGTCAATTTTCTAGCTCAATCACCAAAACCAGTTTGAAAGCAAAATCTTAAAGTGTTACCTCTTGTGTTGCTTTAAGTCAATTATTCTAGTGTTCTGTTTACAATTAATCACCTCTTAGTGATTCAAAACTGTTTATTTGAAACTAGATAATTACTCATTTTCTTAGATTATCTTGACTAATTTTATGGCTTTTTGTGATTCATGAGCTGATTTAGTTATTTGTTCTCCACGGTGTCGCAGGGCTCCAGATTGAATGACCAGAGATGTGCCGCTCCCTCTTCAACGTCCAAGGGACCAACGGTACCCAGTGAGGATTTTTTTAGTCTCATCCTGCGTTCCCAGTCCAACAGGATGGAGGAGCAGCGGGTTTCACCTCCCTCTGGTGATCCCCAAACCAAACCAGGCTGATGTGAAGAAGAGCTGAGCACAAATGAAGTAGCCAAGATGGATTTTTTTTACTAACACTTTTGCTTTTGTAACCCATAACATGACTGACCTCTTGCCTTTTGGATTGTCCTGAAGACGAGGATATCCAGATTGCAGATGAAATAAAACTGATATGTGATGTTCAGGATTGTTGGACTTTTAGGTCAAATGAACTATTTTTTAAAAGATTTATTTTTTAGGCTTGCATCAAGTCACTTGTACAAAGGTGCATTGTTACAGACTAAATCTGTATTCCCACATTGTTAAATATTACTCTGGTTAAGAACCTGATGTTTCACTGTAAAACTGACTGGAGTAATGCAGGGTGACTTATTTTAATCTGAGATCTTTTGGCTGTAACTTATCAGAGTTTCGTGTAATCTCATCTGCAGAAGTAAAGAGGCTAATGCTTCAGTTACTCTGCTGAGTATCAGCATCCAGAGATTCAGACTATCGCTTCTAAAGGTTTATGGGATATTTCTGCGTGGTAACCTGCTTGTACAGAGGTTTGCCTCGTGTGTGTGTGGGTGTGTGTGTGCGTGCGTGCGGGGGTGTTAAAAATAACTATTTGGCCTTTGTACTGATGACTTCCCCAGACAATGGAGAAATAAAATCTCATTTAATTTACATTTCAGCATTTTATTGATTTATCAGCATGTGCAACATGAATTTCCTCAGGAACATTCATAAAAAAACTTTTTCATTTCAAATTCATAGTCATATCTTTAAATCTTAAAAAAACGTAAGTGTCCCATCCACCTCCACTGATGGGAAACGTTTATGGGCCATAGCGATCATGAGACTATTGTTTTTACTGATAGTCTTACTCTGAATTTCTGATACCGGTAAGAACAGCGACATGTTTGGTAACTAACAAACATATCTACTACCACACATACTTAAACATTTGTGCAAAATAAGATGGCGACATTTAAAGTGACAATGTGTAGTGTTTACTATTAATCTTTGGAAATATCCATTGAAATGTAAATTAAGATACCCAGTTGTTGAATATTGGTGGTTTCATATAACCATAAAAATTGGGTTTACAATGCATGGGAACGGGTCTAAGGGTGTTCCTGAATGTCAAGACGCCTCACGAGGCGATGCCTTGCAAGGTCAGGCGCCTTGCCTACGAGGACACTGTCCTTCCTTGGTCAGAGAAAACTGTTAAATGGGTCAGACTTGCATCACGTCACCACAGCGGTAACGTCACGTGACACAGGAGATAACGTTATATTTTATACGTATTATCAATATTAAAGTATAACGAGCCTTTTACTTTTTAAATTGTGTATGTTTAAATTAAATATGTGAGTTGCTACCTGCTAGCCACTGAAGCTGCAACTACTAAGCAACCATTAATAACTACTTTGGATCTTTAAAAAAAAAACATTTTTAATTGGATGACATACTTTTAAACTTGAAATTTTCCCCCGAAGTAGCTGCCGGCTTCTGTTCCGCCATCCTTTTGAAAATACTGCTGTGTATTCTGGATAATTTTTGACCAAGGCTAGGCGACAAGACTCCTCCCGTGTGTCCTCGCTCAGCTAGCTAAACGGCTAACAAACGGGAGAGCACACGCCTCGGTAGAACATGAACATTGGAACACGACTTGGCGGTTCCTGATCATGTATCTCCTAGGCAACTAGGGCGGGGCCAAGACATCAAGGCGAGGTTACTTGGCATTGAGAAACACCCTATGTCTCCGGGCGACGCCATATTGGATGCCATGTTTCCACCTATGGAAGCCTGTGAGGACAGACTGCATTCACTGATTTGTAACAAACGGTTACAAAACTTTCAGCATTAATAAATGTTCTTTACACATTTACCTCTTCACTCATTGCAAGTGATGAATGGGAATCTGATGTTCTTGTGATTTTGCTGGAGGTTGTGTACCCAAGAATTTTTGACCCTAATGGCCATCTACTGGTAAGGTCTTACTTGAACACAAAAATAATGCTTGCTTTAGATATCTACTGCCTCCTATCGCCAGGGAAAATACACATTGTCACTTTAAGGTAGACTGGTTGTTCCAAACAAAAATATCAAAACTAAACTCAGACCTTTCATGGTTGGACATTTTGAGAGAGAAAAGTTAGCTGAAGGGTTTAATGTGTGTGTGGTATGTAAAAGTTGTAATAAATGCAATTTTCAATATTACAATTTAATGTCAATATTGGCCGATAATATCAGACAACCCTCATGTTTACAGAACAAACGTGTTACGTTCCACAGTTTAAAAAGCTGCTATGCCTCTGAGGTCAGCCTCTCGTGACGCTTTCTGCACCTGCAAAGATGACATCAGTCTTGGATGGATGGATACAGATAGAACTGCATCTAAAGGAGCACTAAAGTGCGCTCTAATTTTAATCAAAGTGAAAATGTTGCAGTATTAAAAAAATACATTTAAAGTACTGATCGTATGAAAAAGGAAAGCTACTTTTGGCTATAGTGATGTAAAACTCAATTGTACCTGCTGATGCAGCAGTTCAGGAAGCAGCTGTTCTTGTCTAATCTGTAGACTCCAGACTTTGGCAGGTCTGTACACTCCGACAGGAACTTCTGCAGCTCTGATGTCGGGGCTCCACTCTGCTGCTGTTGCTAAATGACAAATCATGGCTAAATCATGATAAGCATGGCTGCCTTTTTCATAATGAACAAGTTCATATTTAATATGTCAAGTAGGGATGTGTATTGGTGAAATTCTGTCGATGCGATGCGGTATATCATGATATATACAGCCAGGCAATAGATTTTTTTTAGAATGAAATTATTATAATAAAATTAATTAAACAGTCCAAACTGATACACACGATAGAGGGATTAACATTTCAGTGGTGGAAACGAAACCCATTGCTCACTGCTGCAAACTAGCGGTTGGCGTTAGAATTGCACCAAAACAAAGTACGTAAAGTCCAATAATTTGATACACGTCTTTTGAATATTGATATATTGCAGGAAAAAATATCGCGATATCAATATTTTATTAATGTCAAGTGCTAAATATCTGGATTTACTTATTGAACTTGCTGTTCTCATTACCTTGATGGTGTAGTAAGTATCTGTGATTAATGTGATGAAGAGGCTGAGGATCATGTAGATGAAGAGTGACACAAAGGAATAGATGTAAACTCGTCTGAAAATCCACACCAGTCGGCTCTTCTGCTTCATGTTCTTGAAGGTGGGAAACATGTCGTCTCCATTGATCAGCGAGAACAGACACTCGGAGCCGGTGTCTAGGCTCCGGAACTAAAACGGGAGTCACGGGATTACCTCTGTTCGTCACAGCACATCATCACACCAGTGGCTTTATCAGTAAGGATTTTTCTGTTACCTTCTCATGATATGGGCCCAAAACAATCCAGCCACACAAAAGGTAACTCAGGTAGATTATTCCAGCGCAGCAGACAAAACGGATCACATTTGGAAAAGCTGTCCTGAGTGTCACGATGAGGATCTGAAAATGGATGAAATCAATTGTAAAATTGACTTTCCACCAGAATAAAAGCTTGATTTACAACTATGTAAGGCAGGTATCGCTGTTCAAAGCTAAGCAGATGACTGCAACAACTGGACTGAAATCAAATCATAGTTCAACAGTTTACAAACAAAAGAAATTAGTTTCCTAAACTTTTGCATAAAGGCCTTACACATTTGCAGTGGCCTCTGGTGTAAAATAATGCTTTGTAGGTTGATCTCTGGGGGAAAAAGCTCTGGCACTCCTGTTTCAGGAACTAGAAACAAGCCAGAGCACCAGGATTTGAAGTCCTATTTCCTAATATTCCGACATCTCTCCTCTGATTGGCTAACAGCAACACGACTCTACTACTAAAAACATTTGTTCTGCAACGTTGATGTTTTACCTCCACTAATAATACAAGCCTGAAAGAGGTTTTTTGTTTTGTGGAGTTGCAAATGCTAATAGTTTTTTCTACAACCTGAGATGTTCTCTTCTCTCTCCTGGACGCTAAACCAACAACAGCCTTCTTCGTCACGAGTTAAGATGGGTGAGTCCATGTATGCTAATTTACATTGTGACGTAGATTTGACAGGCTTTTCTAATCTGAGCATTTCCCAATCTCTTTTCTATTGGCGGCTAATGCAGGAAATAGACTATTTTAATGTTTGACCTGCATTTTAAACCGAGCAACCAATCATATTTCAAGTAAAACACAGTTTCTCAGTGAACTTCCACATCCACCACTTTTCATGTCACATTTTTAAACTAAGATTGTGTCATGAGAATGATTAAATGATTAATAACACAAAAAATAGCACTGATTTATATCAATGTCTTCTACAGCCATTTAAGATGTTTATTCAAAGAACAAGTTCACTGAAAAAACATTTTTTATATAGTGACTGATCATTTTTAAAAAACAATGATCAGTCACTCTGAGTTTAACATGCAGACTGAACATGAAAATAGTCTCCTACACATACTTCCTGCATTAGCTTCTGATAGAAAATGGACTCGGTTCAGAAAATCCCGACAGATCTACGTCAAACTGTCACTTAACATTCATGGACTCACCCATCTTGCCTCGCAACGGGAAAGATTTTGTTGGTTTAACGTTCAGGAGACAGCAGAGAACATCTCGACTAGGCACTAACCGTTAGCATTAGCAACTTCACCACACAACAGAACTCCGTCAGGTTTGCATTATTTGTGGAGATTAAACATCAACAGATCCAACTGACTACTAGAGACCACTGAAAATGAGTGAGTAAAAGTAAAAGTGAGTAAAGTTGACCTTTCAATTTGTTTAAAGAGCAAGCCACCCCCAAATCAACTTTCTTTTGCTGATAAACTAAATGAGTGTCTAATTGTACTGTAGGCACATGTAGTCAATAATTTGGCACTTCAGTGCATCTTAGTTAAATTTTAAAATTTCTGCCTAAAACTGGCAGTGTGGCGCCGTCGTCAGGTAAAAACTCTGCACTGTATTTGAATTTAAATCTGCCACCGCTATTGGCTAAGAGGTATGCTATGATGTAAACTGGTACATTATGATGTCACAATGCCGTTGTGAGCCTGTGTGTGTGTGTATTTGTTAGTGGCTCCGCCCTCTCGGTCTGCCAGGCAACAGCATTTGTTGAATTTTTCAAACATGAAGTGGGAGTGGAGTAGGTTTCTTGTAGGGGGTGACTTGCTCTTTAAGAAATTGTGCGCTTTGGGTAGTACGAGGAAGAACGAGACTGCGGATACAAGCGGACCGAAATCAGTTTTCTAAATAGGGTGGCTGGGCTCTCCCTTAGAGGAAGAGGGGCTCGGGAGGGGCTTGGAGTAGACCCGCTGCTCCTAGCGTTGGGTACCGAATTCGGTACTTTTTAAGGTACCGACCGAATTCCATAGTACCGACTGAGCACCGATTCACGTCATTTGAAACGGTGCCTCGTTTCGGTACCCGTCCTTCATAACGAGAACTTGCCTAGACCGCTGCGCATGCGCAAGAGCGTTACATCGGTCGCTGAGAGCGAGTTGTAAACAGAGCAGCATGGTAGAAAGAGCGCACGCTAAAGCTTGCGTCCACTTCACTAAATGTGATGGGTAACTGGGTGATGATGAAACCAGCGACAACGATCCAAGTGAGACATCCTCATCTTAATCTGCTCCGGTAGGTAAATAAACTGTTTAAGATAACGTTAGCTTGATAAATTAGCTTCCATTGCCACCATTGTTATCAGCTAATGGTGCGTTCGCTTTCTCCTCGGAAATTCTAACTTCCCAGTAGGAAAAATCAAATGAAAAAGGACGGCAAAAGGAATGAAGATACACAGTAATTTTAGTTCACAGTAAAGATGTTTGCTTCAGTTTAATTATCAGCTTATAAAACTACAAGGACGATGTTAAAATACAAACAGTTGTATGTTATTTATCGTGATATTTATCAAATGTGGTTATATATTGAGAAAATATATACTGTATTTAATTATAAAGAAGAATTAAAATATTAAACACTCAAAAGTATCTAAAATTGGTACCATTATGTACCGGTATTGATTCCTAGGTACCGGGAATTAGTACCGAATCGATTCAAATGTCAAAGGTACCCATCCCTAGCTGCTCCTCCACGTCGAGAAGAGCCAGTTGAGGTGGCTCGGGCATCTGATTAGGGAACCTCCCTGGTGAGGTTTTCCGGACACGTCCAACTGGGAGGAGACCCAAAGGAAGACCCAGGACACAACAGAGGGACTCTGTATCTCAGCTGGCCTGGGAATGCCTTGGGAATCCCCTGGAGGAGCTGGCCCAAGTGGCTGGGGAGAGGGAAGTCTGGACCTCTCAGCATTGTTTGATGCCCCCGTGACCCAACCCCAAATAAGTGGAGGAACATGAATGAATAGCTGGAAAATGATTGTTGCTCTTACATTATACTTCCTAAAGTAGCCCATGTAGCGGATGACGCCAATCCAAACAAACATGGTGCCCATGCCAAGGAAGATGCTGCACACGTCGTAGCTTGTGAGGACCTACAAGCAAAAATAAATAAATAAATAACCCTGCAGGGGACTTGGAGAAATATCCTGATTTACCTGGAGGTAATAAATGCTGGAGCTTAACAAATGACCTGACTGAAATGGAAACCAGTCACTTGACAGTGCCTCATTACCTTAGTCTGAATTTCTATCTTGAGAATGGATCCTATAATGGTCAGGGTGTCGCTGATGATGATCATGATGTACCAACCACTCACAAACTCCAACTTGTCTGACCAGGGCACCTCTCTATCACAGTGTTTATTGGAGTGGTGAACGTACTCCTGTTCAAAACATTGTAAAAAAAATAAATAAATAAAAAAACATGAGGAAGTGAAAAGTTAAATGTGCAAGGAAAACAAGCCTGTTACAATTTAACAAGATAGGCTAACATTTAAATCAAACTCTCCAGTCCGTGGAGACATATCCAAGTGATTAAACATCCCAACATTTTACTCACAAGCATCAACCGGATCCCTTTGCACACGGAGCGTGTGCAGAGTGCGACGGAGCTCATGCAGGTTATTATGATGAGACAGTCAAAAACCACAGTCAGGTATGACTTTCTAGGAGCTGAGGGAATACAGAAAAGATTGTAAACATTTAGAACAACTCCACTCTAAATACTTTTAGAAGATCCCTGTGTGAAGCCTGGGTAACTTACAGACTCCGGACAATTTCAAGTTGTCGCATTCATTGATAGATACATCTGTATCCAGGTCGATCTTTATCCTGCCACTGTGAACTTGGTTGTCGAAGGTTATCTGTTACTCAAACATTTCACATTTCCAAGAAAAGAGAATTTTCTTTTTTAGATGCAGCAAGTTTTATGTTATAAAGCAAACACCTGATAAGAAAATATATCATGAAATATGCAAACGTTTCTACAAAATAAAATGAGCACTGTGTTTAAATTATTCTGATTTAGAGTAAAGCATATGTCAGTTTTGAGGGATTGTAATATTTGTAATTTCTGATGAACAAGAACAAGTGAAGAGACATACAAGGACAGTGAAGTCATAGCAGTCTGGCATTTCGCGATATTGCACGGTTTGCACATTTATGGCCTTGAGGACAAACGTGACCTTCACAGAGAGCATCCTGCAACACGGAGCAGATCCATCAAAAGGGGTGCAACAGCAAAAGAGAAAACACACATTAACACCTCTTACAGACCTTTTAAAATGCAATTTGAAGTCTTGCAGCGCATCATGTTGTGTTAGGGGACTCATTGGATAAATATTAAGGCATTCTGTTATATAAATACAAAAAAGGGTTAAATGAATTTAACACGTTATTTTTAGGGTTTTGTTGTCAGTACCTTTGAAAACAGAATAAGGTTTCTACCAAAATTATAACTAAAATTCAATCAAACATTTGATTTCTGGAAGTTGTTTTTTTGTGGTCTTTACCTTTACCTTCCCAAACAGCCTTGAAAGAAAATCCATCTTTTAATGATAGCTTTACTTTTCTTTCTGCCAAACTTTCTCACCTGGGTGTAGGTCTAATGGTGGTGCCACCAATCTCAAACCGTACTGGAAGGTTTTCAGAGAATAACGAAGATTTGTTCAAGACTAACGGGGCAAGTCCAAGGTGAAGTATAAGATATTCTTCTTGCTGTTCTAGGACATTTTATTTTGAAAACACAATTCAAAGGTCCATTTTTCAGGGTCCCCTTGAGTCAGAATCTGATGGTCGCAGAATATGGTATTACACCAGACACAACAGATGCTGTCAAACATCCATAAAAACATAGTTATCTACATTTTGGCTCATTTTTTGCACTTTTTCTCATTGCCATAAACCCTAATGCAGGGGTATATAATTCTGGACGTGCTGGTATCTGGCACGTTTTAGTGGTTTCTCTGCTCCAACACACTTGTTTTACTGATTGAATCACCTGTGCAGCAGCTCATCGGGCTCTGTCACCTGCTGATTGAAATCAGGTGTGCTGAAGCAGGGTTAAAACTAAAACATGCTGGATACAAGCCCTCCAAGACAGGAACTGAATACCCCTGCCTTAAAGTAACACAACTACGTAACAGTAGCCGTACTATCCACAGTCCAGCGCTGGTCAGTTCACAGAACTTTGTCTCCACTGAAAGTTTAAAAAAAGAGAGAAGCCACTGGGACCTAGATCAGAGATCCAGAAGGGAGGACTGAGCTTATTACACAGGAAAGCCTCTCCACTATTTCTACTCAGGCTATGGAGCCATAGCTTAGTATTCTAGCTAATGTACAGTGAAGAACGTGAAAACTTGAACACCCTGCGATTTTGCAAGTTCAGCTACTTCACATTGTAGTTGCAAGCCAACTGTGAGAGACAGCATTTACATTTCAGGAAATCACGATGTATAGTTTTTAAAGAATATTTGTATTGCACTGTCTGCTGCACAAAAGTATTTCAACACCTGAGAAAATCAGTGTTAATATTTGGTACAGAAACCTTTGTTTGCAACTACAGAGGTCAAAGGTCTCCTGTAGTTCATGACCAGGTTTGCACAGACTGCAACAGGAACTTTGGCCCACTCCTCCACGTAGATCTCATCCAGATCTGTCAGGTTTTGGGACTGTTGCTGAGCGACAGTTTCAGCTCCCTCCAAAGATTTTTTATTGGATTTAGGTCTAGAGTCTGGCTAGGCCCCTCCAGAGCCTTGATGCTTCTTACGGAGCCACTCCTTGGTTATCCTGGCTGTGTGCTTTGGGTCATTCTCATGTTGGAAGACCCAGCCACGACCCATCTTCAATGCTCTGACTGAGGGAAGGAGGTTGTTGCTCAAACTCTCACACTACATGGCCCCATTCATCCTCTCCTTAATACAATGCAGTCGTCCTGTCCCCTAGGCAGAAAAACACCCCCAAAGCATGATGTTTCCACCCCCATGCTTCACAGATGGGATGGTGTTTCTTGGGATGCAACTAGACTAGATATCGGAAGTAATTCGATATCGGCCCAAAAACACTGTATCGGATTATATCGGACTGCATCAAAAATCTCCAATATGAGCAGTAAGTTAAGGTTCACAATTTTGCAACCAATGGTTAAAAAAATTGTCAATTTCTTCATACTTACTGTTATTGGCTCTTGTTCTCTGACTGAGTAATATCACTTGATGAAGCCTTTCATACATTCCACACTATGTAAATAGGTAAAAGTACGTATGATTTGTGCTGATATCATATCGGACTGATATTGGTATCGGTCAATACTGAAGGCTGCAATATTGATTTCGTATCAGAAGTGAAAAAGTTGCATCGGGACATCCCTAGATGCAACTCATCCTTCTTTTATCTCCAAACATGGCGAGTGGACTTCAGACCTAAACGTTCTATTTTGGTCTCATCTGACCACATGACTGTCTCCCATGCCTCCTCTGGATCATCCAGATAGTTGTTGGCAAACTTCAGACGAGCTTGGACGTGTGATGACTTGAGCTGGGGAACCTTCTTTGGAATGAATGATTTTAAAGCATGGCAGAGTAGCGTTCTACTGACAGTGAACTGTTGTCCCAGCTCTCTTCACGTCATTGACCAGCTCCTCCCGTGTAGTTCTGGGCTGATTCCTCACCTTTCTTTTCATCAGTGATACCCCACAAGGTGAGATCTTGCATGGAGCCTCTGTCTGAGGGAGGCTTACTCTTTAGCCTCTTCTATTTTCTAACAACTGCTCCTATAGTTGATCTATTTTCTCCAAGCTTTTCTCCAAGCTGCTTGGAGATTGCCGCGTAGCCTTTTCCAGCCTTGTGGAGGTCCACAATGTAGTCTTTTTTGACTGTTCTGTGGTCTTGCCCATTGTAGTAGTCTGACTGACTGGGGGTGGACAGGTGTCTTCAACAAGATCTGACAGGTGCTGCTAAATAAGATTAATAAATAGAGTAAAGGTGGACTTTTAAAGGCAGAGTAACAGGTCCTTGAGAGTCAGTATTCTTGCTGATTGCCAGGTGTTCAAATACTTGTGTCCATCAGTGCAATACAAATAAAATGTTTTTAAAAACAGTCAATATAATTTCCGGATTTTTTAAAAATGCAGTCTGTCATAGTGGGAATAAACCTACAATGAGAATTCCTGAATCCTCCATGGTTTCTCAGTGGGATAACTTGAAAACTAGCAGGGTGTTCCTCACTGCAGCAAGCCCAGCTAGCTTCACTTGCTGTTCTGCCGATCCACACTGAGAACGGTGATTCGTGGACAAAGAGGGTTATGCAAAGCAAGGGGAGGGCTGATGAGAGAGAGAGAGAGCAAGGGGAGGGCTGATGAGAG